GTCTGGCTGCCTGGATTTGTTGCCTGGCTCTCTTCCTCCTAGCTGTGGGATCTTAGGCAAGGGGCTTCCCCACTATTTGCCTCAGTTTTCCCATCTGTAACCTGAGAATAACAACAGTATCTACCTTATGGACTTATTAGGAGGATGAAATGTGCTTGTATTTTTAAAGGACTTGGATTGATACCCAGCAAGTCATGTGTGTTCCATAAATTATACTTCGTACTGACATATTCAGTTAGGCAGAAAACCACACAAAAATCTTTAAGAACTTGATAAAATACTTTAAAAATAAGTTTATTATAACTAACGAATATAAAATCTGACAGGTATTTTTAAACATTTTTGCAAAAAAAGTGAAACCCTCCCCTGCCCCCCTTCCCCACAAGATATAGAATAAGGACTTGGACAGAGAAACAATACAAACCTCAACATGAAACTGTCATTCATCAGTTGGTCCTAAAAGGCTCCAACATATTCTATTCTAAGTAAAGGTCCATTAAATTAAGAAGTTAACAAGCCACTTGACACTTTTGTAGTTTAACTTGCTTTCTACTCTGATTATGATGCTCATTCAAAATGCTGAGGGACGAGAACAAGTAACGTTAGGACTACACGAGACAGATACTCAAAGTGCATAAATCTATGAAATCACATTCATAAGAATACTAGGAGTGGAATTAAACAGTGACTAAAAAAATCCAAGGAAATCTATGTACATTTTAGCCTTTGGCATCTGGTCTATCATATTTCTTCTTTATGTAGACATTAATTTGTTAAATCTATTAGCCAGATTAAATTTATCTGAACACATTTCTCATCTGACAAAGATTGTCCACAGCCGATTTCACATGAGGTAGTTGGGCTGTTTAATGACATTCTAGTGAAATTCGCACGATACATGGGAATCATACATTAAACATGCCATGGAACTGGCTCATAGCCTTCTGGGAAACAACAGAAGTACTTCTTGAGCATCCTTCCTATCAACACTGACTCCACATACACCTATAAATAGACACGCATACACAGGAGTCTGTGTGGTAAGATCGACTTTGTAAGGGGTATCAGCCATCCCAGGGTGGTTTCTGTTTGTAAGGTACAGGCAGGAAATACTGACCACACTTTAAAATATATGAAATATTTAGAACAAGCAGGATATTATTCTTACATTCTCACATAGATTAGCTGAAAACATTTCTTCACTCTGGAACAGGACTGATTAATATGGGAACAAAGAATTTTGAAGCCTTTTGCATTACAGAGTAGTGGTATGTTTTTTTCCTTTTAATTAAAGGTTATATAAAAACAGCAGAGGAGAAAGATCAATGCATGCATCAACTGTACCAGAGAGGCACTGTTAATGACTGTTTAATCATGCCCTGTAGTGCCTGAATGCAGCAATGCAATGAGAAATCATGCAAACGGTCACTGTATACAGGACTGTTGACTGTCTGAGACAGGATGGGAATTGGGAACATTTACAGGGAAGGTCTAGTAAACAGTACATTTATGGAATTGTTGAAAGAACTAATGACCTTGTAATACAGATAAACGGTCTTAAAATACCATTAGACAGCTAGTGAATTGTTTTTATGAAATTACTATGAAACCCCTGAGTAAGCAACTGCAGATTACAAAGGGACATACAGAAGTAGAACATATTTCTAATGAAAACATCCTATATACAATTCATAGGAACACAAATGTACCATACATCATGAAGCTTGTGTAGAGACCTTACAAGATCACAAAGACCATCTAAAGTCAGGCCCTCTAAGACCAAACACATTAGCTCAGCTGACAGAACAATGGTTGAAAATATATTTTACTTACAAATTCTACATCTAAAAATTTTAAAATTTAAAAAAGGTTGATAGATTATCTTAAAAAAAGAAAGGAAACATGAGGATGGGAGAGCTGAATAGTCGTAAAACCTGTGACTAAAGTCAGAGCAACTGATTTTAATCAATGATTAAGAAATGCACCATTATATAACCAAGTTCTTGTAGGACATGGTAGTTTAGTGGGAAAAAAAAAACTTGAAAATTTCCTCCAGAAAGTTCCCCAAATGCCTCACATCGTCTATTGCTTATTACCCTCTGACTCTATTGCCTTATCTGATATTTCTCCATATGTTTAATTTTCACAATCAGAATAAGTTTCCTTAAAAAAAAAAATTCTCTTACTTCAGCTCGTTCCCTCACTTCCAATTTAGTGAAGAAAAATGTACTTTACTTATTTGGTCCCTATCACATATTTCTAATTGAAAACACTTTTCTGAAAATATAAAGCTGAAAGCATCAACTTTTTGTTAATATATATGGAAAGCAATAATAATCAAAAGAAGAAGAATGCAGATTTTTCCAGCTGCACTCCCCTAATAGATCATCTTTCTTAGGTGCCCCATGTCATGTCATTCACCTGTTTTCAGCTACAAATGGGAATATGGGCTCCTTTTTAAGAAGCTCTTGCAGGCTGGGCGCGGTGGCTCAAGCCTGTAATCCCAGCACTTTGGGAGGCCGAGGCGGGTGGATCACGAGGTCAAGAGATCGAGACCATCCTGGTCAACATGGTGAAACCCCGTCTCTACTAAAAATACAAAAAATTAGCTGGGCATGGTGGCACGTGCCTGTAATCCCAGCTACTCAGGAGGCTGAGGCAGGAGAATTGCCTGAACCCGGGAGGCGGAGGTTGCGGTGAGCCGAGATCGCGCCATTGCACTCCAGCCTGGGTAACAAGAGTGAAACTCCGTCTCAAAAAAAAAAAAAAAAAAAGAAGCTCTTGCAATCTGGGGAGGAAGGAACTGAATTCCCACTGACTGGGCACCTAGCCCTGGACTAGGTTGGTGCCAGATGCTCTACATATGTGCTAGAAGCTGCTCCTGAGAAATGGGGCAGAACAAACATAAGCGGGGGTAGATTTGGTGTGCTGATGGCAATACCACTGGCAATTTTCAGTAGCAAAGAAGAGAGAAAACCAACAAGGCTGGACTATGGAGTTCTGAAATTCCTCATCATGGAATATGACATTGGGGGACATTTAATAATCAAAATGACATGCAAATAATGACGAGAAGGTGCCTCAAGCCATTACTTATAGATCCTAATGAGTACTACCCTTCAAAGTCAATGTCTTGGGCCCACAGGCTCAACGTTCTGTGAGAGCTCCTCTTCCGGAACTCCCTTCAGAGCTACATCAAGAGCCAGTGAGAAAATCATCCCCTCCTCTTAGTTATAATTTGGTTTTACTCCCAAAAGGGATCTCTCCAATTTAACATTTTTCACCAGCATTAACTATAAGGAATCTGACTTGCTTTCAAAAGTCAAGAGACTTGCCATCATTAGAAATATTTTGCTTAATTCAACAAATACACCCTGATCCCTACAAAGTGTAAATACTGGCTTCAACTGTGGGGAGAAATGCAGGCATGATGAAATTGTGTGTGTGGAAATGTCTCATAAGGGGTTAGCCTAATGTTACTTATTCATGTCTAATAATACCGAGTAAACCAATTTCCTTTTTCTTCCGGTTCTCTCTAAAGGTTACGCTAGAAAAATAATCCTAAAAATGCTTTGAGCAGTGAGAGCAGGGTGATTACTCTGCCAACAAAATACTAGTTTTCTCACACCTCCTCTCACAGTAATGTTGAAAGCAAACTTAGGTGTCCCAGCAGTCTTGAAATGCTACGGAGAGAAAGCTTTAAGTATCTTTTCTCATTGCCCGCTTCTTGGAAAGTGACTACACATCAGCACAAATTATGACTTTAACTAAAACAGAGAAGCAAATACTGTAGATGTAGGAGGAAGCTCTGACTATGCCAAGGTTCAGGTTAAGCTGAATTTATTGTTTAGTATTAGGTTCAATTTCTAGATAATTTTATTTAAAGATCCTCAGTTCCTTAAGCAAACTTTTATATATCTTAGGCAAACTTAATATGCTCCAGTAGGGAAAACACCTATTTAAAAAAAATCACCCTCTTTCTACAGATGTGAAAAGGGGTAACTGGAAAATGTAACTCACTCAAGCTTTTCTGTCTGATCTGGGTTCTCAATGATCCCAGAGAATATGAAACCCCTCGTTCCCAGCAAATTGAATCATGCACACCTAGGCACTACCTATACAAAAGCAAAATGGCCATGCTGAGCAGCTTTCCTTTTGAGTGTATTTGGAGCCTCAGTGGCAAACCTGAGGTATTTTAAGAGTGCTACCTCTCCAAGAGACCACAGAGTTCACCTGAGGTGACAAGGAGAACCAGCAGCTGTTTAGAATGATCACGCTGCACAAGTCTAACAACCACCTGGTAGCATCCCCTCTATGGACACAATGCCTAAAACATCCTCATTCAAAATACAAGCAAAAATTGGCTGCTTTTTCTTTTTCCCTTTTAGGAGGCTATGTCAAGGGCAGGGACTATCCCTGAGTCCTGCCATCATATTCATAACCAATCAGAAAAGGAGATCCATATTCACTGCTCATGAGAGTGGCAGGGAAATAATACACACACACCTTGGCAAAATACGACATAAATAATGAACATCATTTTAATACCCCCCTTCTCCCTAGCCTTAAAACATGTGATGTTGATTTTTGAAGTTTAAGTGTTTTCTAGAAGTCTTTACGTGGGCAAAATGCCTAATTAATTTGAGCTAAAGAAATGTTCATTTGTTTAAAGACAGACAAAAGGCAAAACCAATACCCCTCCCTACATAAACTTTTTGACTCAAGAGAGAATTCTCTCCATCCTAGAGATCTGCAGTAGGAACAGCATCATCTAGAGATGATGCTCAACTCAACCAAGCCTCTCAAAGGACCTGCTACCCTGGGTAACTACCTTATGCTGCAACTTCCCTTCCTGTTACTGGAAGGAAGTCGCCTCTAATGGGTAAGGTACCCATGGCTTCTCTCCTATGCACACTCGAAGCAGCATGGTCTACTGAGACCAGGACCAGGGTTGGGGCATCACACTGTGCAGAAGAACGCCCACGCAACATTGTTTTATGAAATACTTAAGTCTCATCTTTGAACTATGACACTGTCCCAAAGCTTTTGAGATTGATAAACAGCTGCATTTTGCCTACTCTGCACTTTTGGTGATTAAACCAAGACTGATCGGTTCAGAGCCATGGCCCCTGAATGCAATGCCAAGGCCTACTGGCTGGGTGTCAGTGCTGGCTCAATTTAGAATATTGCTGAGTAAACTTGCTCCACTTCTCACTCTCCATTTAGCTATTTTATTTAAATGGCAGCCTCCTCCTCTTTGAAAAAAAGGATGTATCATTTAGTTGAAGGAAACTGGGAATTCTATAAACTAGAATTTAATCTAGTTGCTCTTCAATACTGTGTGCAGAAGAATCATGTGTAAAGTTCATTGAAATGGAGATTCCTATGGCCCGCCACCTAGATTCTGGTTCTTTAGGTGAAAATAAGGCCTGGGAATCTGCTGTTTGAATAAGCACTCCATGTGACTTTGATACAGAGGCAGTCCAGGTCATACTTGGAAATTACCTGGCTCTTCTACTTATAAACTATGTGACTGTGAACTGATCCCTCAACTTCTAAACCTTGCTTTTGAAGTGGGGTAATAATCCCTTTGAGTATCATTCCTTGTGATGTCCCATTGAGATAAAGCATGGAGAACATGTTGGTACATGGTAGGTAGTTGGGAGGTGTCATCTCAAATGAGCTGTCCCACCTCTCCCATATTCTCCCCTCCAGCTTGGGGTTAGGGCACACCATTAACCTCAGAGCAGCAGTCTCATGCCTCTCAACAAGGATGGGACTCCTGTCCATGTCTTCTTCACCTCCCAAAATTTCATGGTCATGTGAATGCTCTAAACATTTTTACTTTACAGGCCCTTATCACTGACAGAGTTACAGTGAAGAAGGTCCACTGAAGAGCATCTAGGAATAGCAAACTCCACACAGCTTCAACAAAGCGGCTTATACTACCTCCAAGTGTCTAGTCTAATTCTGAGTTGGCTGAAACAGTGGTTATGAATTATAGTACTTAATACGAAACCTGCTGATTTTCAGCTTGGGTTTGGGTTCATTAAAACTAAAACCTAAAAACAATACACAGTAACAGCAAATTCATTTGTTAAATCTGCTCTTATAACTTGCTGTTCAAGTCTATAACAGCTTATCATTTGGTATCCAGTAGGCCTGCTGAACTGAAATATATAGCACCTTGATCTTTAAATACACAAAACACATATGCATTTTAAAAATTATATATAAAAGCACTGGGTTTTGCCTCCTCCTGTCCATCCCCCCAAGTGAAGGGGTTGGAGAGGGCTGAGGCTGTTGCTGGAAATTAAGTAGGGCAACACAACACTTTAGCACTTTATTCCCTGAAGTTAGGAGGTGCTGCCCAGCAGCCATCATACCACCTCATCAGACTCCAGCCCGTGGACCTCATATAAAGTGTCCAGTATGGCCAGCTGCTTCTCCATGGCAGGGAGGTAAAGGCTGAGGTCCCTCTGCATCCCAATACTGAAAGCTTCTTTCTGGTGGTCACCTTCCTTTATGGTTAACGCGGCCACAAAATCTTCATAGGATGGAGCTGCCCTTAAAGCTAACTGCAAAAGAATCACACATATTTTTATGCATGTGCACATGCATCCCACACTTTCACACATACAAACAGCTGAGAAGAGCAAGAGTAAAGAAATATGACTACCCTTCTAATTTGTGGACTCTCTAAAATTATGTTTTAAGGACCAATTCAAATAACTTAAAGGCTCAAAAAAACAAGTATGTACTTGGGCCACCTTCAAGATAAACAATGCTACCACATCAGGGAATGCAGAGAGAAAGAGTTTGAGAAAAGGTCTCTTCGGATCCACAGTGTGATTCAGACTATTGTCCTCAAATCCTCAGAATCTATATGCATGTTGCCATCATGGTATTTATTCCCACACGGCCAGTCTTCCAGGGCACCTCATTCTCTTATTTGTATTTCAACTCCATATACATTTCTTTGCATATCTTCTATTTGCCCCCTATATGAACAATATTTCCTTTGTGCTCTTGAATACTTGCTAGAAAGGAAGGGAAGCTAACATTTGTTGTCTGGTTGTGCGCAGATGATTTAACACAGTTTATTCTAGTTAATCTTTATAAGACCCCTGTATAGTTTTTACCTCTATTTTATATATAAACGTCATATAGCTAATGAGTGCCAGGGCTAGGATCTGAACTTGGATCATCTCTGTGTGTTTCAACCACACCACCATACTATGCCACTTCCCTAACAGATTTTCTAGGCTCCTTATCCTTCTCTTCCTTTGCAGGCCAATATTTCCTAAGCTTGCTAAAATCTGTTTTCTGGCATTCACTAGATCTCAGCAGAGGCTTTTTGGAGAATCTTGAATTATCACTCCACAGGTGCTTTTCTGATCTGCCTTATATCTTGAAAGTCTTTGAGAATAAACCCTCCCCATTTTTGCAGTAAGAGAGTAACTCGCATTATCATACAGTGGCTAAAGCACAGACTTAGATAAAGCAGACGTGGACTTGAATCTCTTTCACATACTAGAGTGAGGAATTTATGCAAAGTGCTTAACTTCCTAGAATCTCAAGTTTCCTTAACTAATACAACTTTCCTTATTTTAAGAATTAATGGGATATGTAGGAAGTGTTTAGCCCACTGCCTGGCACATGATAAATACTTAGATAATGGTAAAAGTACAAGGGAGTGGGAAAACTGAAAATGAAGAGAAGGCAGTTATCCAAAAACATAATTCAAGAAAATCTCCCAGAACTGGAGGATAGGAGTCTCCAGATTTAAAGACCTAACCAAGTGCTCAGCATAATGAATGATAAAGACCTAAAGGGCAAATCATGAAATTTCAGAATGTGGGATAAAGTAAACATTCTAAAACATCTCGAAGGCAACAAGGAACAGATTATATGTATTCTATACGTCAAGCACTTAAAATAACATCTAGTTCATGTCAAGTGCTCAAAACTGTAAGCTGTGGTTATAGCTCTTGGTATTTGACACAGCAGTTCTACTTCTAGGAACCTATTTTGAGGAAATAAGAGTTTTAGTTAAAAATGCATATAAACAGATACTGTTTTATTTCTAACCTGTTTTATTCTAATTTGTTCATCATTCCTATGATACCAGATTTTACAGTAGTAACAGTGGAAGCTGGAGGACAATAGGGGAACGCCTTCAAAATTTGGAGGGAATTTATTTACCTAGAATTCTATACTCAGCCATCAGCACGCTAGATAAAAAAGAGGGAGAATCAATATTGAGTTCAACTGTCTAGTCTGACTGAAGAGAAACCAAAAAGGTCAAATGAAGGCTATTTAGTGACCAAGATGGAGGCAGCCATGTTGCTTGAAATGGGTATCAGCTCAGTATACTGAGTATAACTGCTGGAAGATCAAAAGGTCACTATTTGACTGATAAATGAGTCAAATTCCTTGGAGGTAAACAATGTCTCCCTCAGCAACTGAGATTAGTTAACATGAATTTGGCTCTGCAAGTTAGCATGTTAGAAAACTCATAAACCTTCCAAAGTAGGGATGACTTGGAGAGTAATAGAAGAGAGGGTGAATGAGCCAATATAGCTATAGACTTAACTCTTCGATTGATACGGCTGTTCCCAAATGCATCACATAATTTATTTTCTTGAAAACCAGCACCTTTAAAAATTATTGGCAATAATATTTAAAGCCGGCCGGGCGCGGTGGCTCAAGCCTGTAATCCCAGCACTTTGGGAGGCCGAGGCGGGTGGATCACGAGGTCAAGAGATCGAGACCATCCTGGTCAACATG